AAAAGACCCAAGTAAAGAAGCAAGCATGCAGAAGTTCTAAACTAAGCTAACATTTTTTTCTGTTGGGTCTTTAAGTTCAGTCTGATACGTCATTACCACATATGGATATCTGAAGATGTTTAGGAAGAAATAATCATAACTGCTGGAAACTAATAAAAAAAATCGCATAGCTCCTGTAAGATTTTCTCCTTTTGGGGAAAGGATAGCACTTACGTATTTACATTATTTGCACTAATTAAAGTGTAGCCTGTAACATTATCAATGTTATCAACATTATTTGTAATAAACCAGAAAGTCAATTTAGGATTTGATCTAGTAGCTGATAATATCAAATGCAAAACTCCCCACCCACTAGAGTAACGTTAGATGAAGTTTCAACCACCAGATTCACATGTACTTAAATACAGGAACCTCTGTGAGAGTCACTCAGCTGTTTCAGGAATTGCTTGACTCTCTCTAACATTGTGGCTTTCTGTCCATAGCCAGATAAAAGACCTGCTTAGGGAAGTAATCTCTCTCTCTGCAGATCTGTAAGTTGCAAATAGCTCCGTACCCTTTGGCACACACAGTATAAAACTTCCATGACAGGTACTCTGCATTGTAAAGCACCTTTTTAGTGAACTGTGAGATACCTTTACCCTTCTGTAAAAACTTTAAATACACTCCAAGCCAGGCATAATTACTGGATTAAAAGAGATAATACAATGTGGTAGCTCTTTGTATTCAGTTCCATAATGCTTAGCATTAATTTCAGTTTTGGAAGTGTTTTAATTTTATTTTACCTTTATGCAATGGTAGGTACATGCACAGTGTTTTTCCTAAAGTCATCATCAGTGAAATAATCAATGAAGCCAATATTTGTTTTTGCGTAATTAAAGACAATTCTCATTTGAGAAAGTTTAAAACATGTTTTTTCAGTTCCTTGTAATTGATTATCCTTATATTTCACTTTAAAGGTTTTCTTTCAAGTTATGGATAGGAACTTAGGTGATATTTATTTTCATTTAAAAAAAAAAGTTTTAGTAGTTGATTCGGTGTTGGAAGAGATGACTACAGAACTCACAGCCTTGCCTATTATTTTTCATTATAGTTTCACATGAGATGATAGAAATGTTTCTCCTTCAGAAGCAGGGCTTCTGTTTATATGATATTGACCGTCTTAGTCCCTTAACATGGCCATAAATCGTGTATAAACCAAAACAAACGCTGACGATGTATGTTGAAAGCCACCAACATTTTAAAATTCCCATTGAATCTGTGTCACTTGATTCTGTGGGCTATTACTGTGTGCAGACTTGTATTAAAAAGGGGTACTAGCCATTAAAAACATTAGCAAAGCTGAATTTAATCACTGTTAGCTTTATAGATTAGAAGGCATATTAAACTGTTGTGCAATTATTGATTTTATATTTTGTTCTTCTAAAAACTTCTTTTTAATTTTTACAGAACTCTGTGTGACTCCAATTTCAAAAGGAGGATTTGAAGAAGAGAAATCTGGATCATTTTCACTGACCAAATTAAGGAGGTTAAAGAGTAATCTGTTTCATCGAAGTACGACTTTTGATATTTATATCCAAATGTCTTAGTTAATGCATGAGGAGTGTATTTTTGTTTCTTTGTGTGCAAGATGAATGTTTAAAGAAGAAAATTTCGATGGAAAATGTACCTCTTTTAATTTCTTGAGTATTGAAATGATTGTAGTTATTAAAATTTATCTTTGAGAATCTGACTTTCACAAATAACAGATTTATGGTATTGCTGTTCATTAAAACTCTAAAGATCTTAAAATAAAAATTTATGGTTGATGATAAACTGGTATGGAGTAATTACACAACTACCTTCAGTTAACATTAAGCCTATCTCATATGCTTGCCCTTTACAGCTAGTGTTATGCAATGCAAGTTACAATCTATAAATAATATTTCAGGGCAAACTCTTTAACTGTCAAACAATATTAATTTAAATATTTGAATATACTCTTTAGGCTGTAAGGCAGGGACATGGGCAAGATACCATCGTAGTTCTCTTTTCTTATTCTGATATGAACACAACATCCAGCAAAACTGAGTATCGCTGTATGTAGCTACATTTTCTTCAGAACAAGATCCTATACTTTTAACACTCCTTGGTCTAAGTCTGTTGGAAACCTGCAAATCTGAGTGTGAAGATAAATGTTGAGCAGTAAACACATCCTTCTAAAGGCTGGTCTGTATAGGTGTCCTTGCTCCTTTGTGTCCTGTTCTTGAAGGGCTTTTATGGACCAAGCCTTCAGTGCCGCGCCAGTCCACACTAAGGGAATAAATCTTCAGTGGGTATGATATGATACATCTCAGCAGCTGTAGCTGCCTAAAAGTTTGTCACCCAATCTAAACTAATCAATCCCTGAAGAGAGAGGGAAAAGGTAGGTAGTTCCAAAAGTGATTTCTTCCTGGGGTGTTTGGATGCTCAGAAGTCTGCTAGGAGGTCAACATGGTGTCCTCCAAATTTTCTAAACCTCTTAAGTATTGGTGGTTTTTTTCTAAATACTAGAGAAAAAAGTGAATTTATGATTTTTAGAAAATAAATATGGTTAAATAAAATAAATAAATATGGTTAAAAAAATAAAAATGGTTAAACAGGAAAGTACGCAGCTGTGATTTGATTTGGCACTAATTTTTCAAAAGCTTGCCTCATGCCTGTCTTTTAGGTGCATTTCTAAAAATATTATATAGGTCATATACCAAAAATTTCTGGCTTTTGTCAGTGTCTTTTGTGAAATTAAAGAAAAATTTTCATCACACAGGGTTTTTGATGGGAAGTAATCTACACCGTGGCACGTTCAGAATGGTTTCATGAATGAGTTGTTATTTCCATAATTAGATTGACAGGTTGTTTTGTAAACAGTTCATAATGTAATGACAAATCATTGCTTCTTTTTTTTGTGCGTTCTTTTTCAGATAAAAGAGTAGCGGATACCATTGCTAACTCTGATGCTTACTTGGAGGACCTTTTTACAGATTACGATGAAAAAGCTGCGAGCATGACTGATCTCTCTACAAGCTATCTCAGAGAAGGGTCTCATATCCGAATTAATTTACTTAATAACAACATCCCCAGAGGTCCCTGTGTCCTTTGTGGAATGGGAAGTTCTAAAAGGGAGACAGTCTACGGATGCCTAGAGTGTTCTTTTAACGGACAAAAGTACGTACGGCTGCATGCTGTGCCCTGTTTTGGCCTCTGGCATAAGAGAGTCAAGTAACTGAGCTAGGTAAGTGCCTGTTGTCGCAGACAGGGGCATAACTGTGCCACAAACTTTTCAGAATTAGTAAATATATCTCAAATTGTTGAAAGGCAAAATAGTGAAAGCGCAAAACATTTTATTACACTGTTATCTTCAGATTATTTGCTTCACAGTCAATGACCTTTTACTTGAAAATGCCCTCGTGCATTCCCTGACATTGCTCTTCTTTCTAGAACCTTCTTCTTTTATTATCATAATGGGAAATGTACTTTTAAACTGTATTTTCGTAATGTCAAAATATATGCTAGAACTTTACGTTGTTTACACAAACTTGTTGTTAAACCCCAAAACGTTGCCTTTATCTACACTGGCATATGATGGTAAAATGAGAATATTTGTTAATAATTCAGTGTTCTCATGAATGTTTAATTGAAGTATCAGATTAAAAAACATGCTAAAACTTAGCTTAGTCTAATGTTTCATTTACAAAAGGGAACAACTAAAAGTAGGGACAGGCGTTTCATATTAGGATGCCATTACCACACGTCAACAGTCTGTTTAGATTACTAAAACGTACCAGCCAGTCCACCTTCTGCATTTGGATTTTAGGTCACAGCTGCTCTTGACTTTCTTTTATGTGTTTAGAAAAAATTGCTTAGCAGAAAATGTTTTGGAAGCTTATGAAAATAACAGAACTACATCCTTCCAACAAGACTTCAGGGGCGAAGGCCTTTAACCGGTAGATCTCCACCACAGAAAATTCAGCCTGTGTTGTTGAGAATATAAACACCAGAGGGCACCGCAGAATTGTGTCCAATACTGAGATGGGGAGTGCTGTCGGTGAGTATACTGCTGAAGCTCTCCCCACGCTATTGTAAACTGGGGAAACAATGAAAAAATGTTTTTCTACCTTTTAGAATTATCTTAAGGATAAGCCAGGTATGGAAGCTTTTTTACTTGTGCTGCCACTTTCACTGTGTATCTGATTATCACATGCTGAAATGAATACGGCCATTGCTTTTCACATGAGAAGAGTGAAGTATGTTACACAAGTACTATGACGACATCTGCATCAGCAGAACAGTTAACTATTATATAGTTATATATATAACTATATATAGTCTACTATTGCTACTTCTTTGCATTTTTCCAAAATGAGGGAAACCAGAATGATGCCCAAATAATTATACAGAGTATCTCCCATCATCTTCCACCTCATCCAAGTAAACCATCATAGTGTAGATTTTTAAGTTGGTGTTGCTAAAGAAACTGGCTAACTTAACTTTACTAAGTCAAAGTTTAAAAACCCACTTAAAATACTGCTTTTTCATGAACACCAAATTATTCATGTTAATATTACATCAAAGATTATTTTAAGTTGTTTTAAACACATTTGTTTTTATCTTGACATTCCACAGACAGTGTTAATTTATTTTAAGGCCTTTTATAGTTAAATTTTCTGCAAACAGCAATTCCTCAAGAAGCTAGCCTAGGAGCCTGCAGAGGTTTAACAGAGTTACCTTCCTGGGATTCTGTTTTCCCCTTTTATTTTACAGGGGATTGAGAAGTATTCATCAGTTCTGTTCTAACTATGTCAACAGGTACTGGAACCATTTTTGTATGCTTGATAGGACAGAAATAATTATTTTCATCAGTATTTTACACAATGAGAAAGACTACTGAGCAATACCGTAGATTAGGACATGACGCAGGAACCACTAATAATAGATCATGGTGTTTTCCAATTTTATTTCTTTCTTTTGAAATATCTAACACATTTTATTAGTTGAATGTTAAAAATAAGATTTTTACAGTCAAGAGATATAAAAAGACTCCATTATAAAAAAAATACAAAAAATTCTGTGACAAAGTATTATTATTTAAAATTCAGTGTCCAGAAAACAGCCGAAGATGTTCGATTTAGAGTTCATCATGCTGGTAGACATTGTACTCCTTTGCTGATATGAAACCATCTCCATCATGGTCATTCTTCTTAAATATATCAGCTAAGATTTCATCATGGACTGAGGGATGACGTTTTTTGCCATCTCTTGCAAATTCTTCTTTCAAATACTGGCTTATCTAGAAGAAAAGAAAAAAGCCCAACCATTGTGGCTTTTACGCCAGTACTCAGCAGCTATCTTCGAGGACACTTGGGGTATATATGTAAGTTATTGTGACTCCAGTGCAGACGTGTCTAAAGTTTGTTGCTCAGCAAGTCTGAGACTTACTACTGTATTAATCAAAGCAAATTTCAACATTGCACCATGTAGTTTGTGTAAGCATACAGAAGCTTTACATGAAGAACTGCAGCAGAGGCAGCTCGTGTAAAGATAACACTGATGCAACTATACCTATCGTTTTATAAATTATTTATTCCAAATTAGTTACATCATATTACCTCAAGTTCAGAGAGTTTCTTGTCACTGTCCTTGTCTATTTGATGAAATGCTTCAACACTGCGAGGTCCCTTATTTACTGCATAAAGTTCAATCTCAAAGATCAGCGTTGCATTGGGTGGAATCTTGCCCTGTGCTATGAATAAAAGAAAAAAAAAGCATTTAAGAAATCAGACACTATGGTCAGAGATCACACATATGATAAATTTACACGTAAAGCATCTTATTTTTTATTACAAAAGGCTGTGTTAATATTCAGATTAAACTCTGATTTTAAATATTATACAGCTGGACAGGAATATTGTTCAGATGGTGTTAGAAAAATGATTTTGAGAGAGATCTGCAAACAGTGTACTTCCCTGGAACAAAATTATATTGCTCACATCAATTCGGGTACTTTCAGAAATTAAGAGAAGGGTTTGTGTTATCATGAAAAACAAGTATTTCTAAAGTTCTCCCTCTTTCACATACTGTCATATGATGGGGCTTATTGAGAGACTGATTCTAAGACGTATGCCTTCATTAAATATCTGCAATCTCATTTAAAAGATTACGGTAACAGACCAATGCTCATATATATTTTCTGTCTGAAGAAATAAGAAAGCAATATCAGGTTTTACCAACTTACCATGAATTATACCTATGCTTAAAGGACTTTATGTAAAATAGTGTTTAAAATATACATCTCACTAGAAGGAAGCAATAGAATGTGTCACCTGATTCACAAAAAGAAAAAAAGAACTACTGGAATATTTTGTCTAGTCCCTGAAGAAAAAAAATCATGTTAGACTTCATTATTCTTTTGTCAAAGCATTTTCTGATATCTGATGTAAAAACACCACTGCCTATAAACACAGGTCATTGTTCCAAGCATCTGGCAAAAAAAAAAAAAAGGGAACTGAAGAGAGACAGTAACAAACTAATGAGGTCTATAAGTAAAGCCAAAAAAGCATCAAGAAATCATGCAGTGTAAAATTAAAATGTAAACATGCAAGTTGCTTCTATTCATAGCCAAAGCCAGTGAGCACAACATTGTAACCTCGGAATTTTGACAGAATTTTGAGCTTGTGCCCGTCCTTCATAAACTGAAGAAAAATGAAACAATTTACTTGGTTTATAAACAGAAGGTAAACAAAACTATTACTCACACTATTAATCTAAAATGTCCATAGTAAAAATGACAGGTTTCAGAGTTCAAAACATTTTAATCTTACAATTTAAAAATGTAGACGTTTTAAATATATCTGAATATAAATCATGCTTTATATACTACTCATGAAAGAAAGATACAATACTAGAATTCAGTGCCAGTAGTTTACAAATATACATACCAACAAAGGAAAGATATGTAAAGATTTAGAAAGCCACATGCATCTTTTCTAATTCAAGATTAGGCAGGCATCTTCCCCAGCATGCAGAAATACGCTGAGACAGAGGACAGGTATGCTGTAGGAAAATAATACGTTCTTGAAGTGCTACCTAGAACAAACAGTTAACACTAGTATTAAAGTTAAAGAACATACTTTTATTTGTGTCAGTGTTTTTCCTTGTTGTTATGAGACTTACTTATTAAACATTATGCTCGAGGGGAAAAAATTTATTTCTAGTGAACCTCACTGGCTACAATGGAATTGTATGAAAGACAAAACTGGTGCATGGAATTCTGACATAATATCACTACCAAACAATTATTATAGACCAGGAGCTACCTTTTCACAGAAACTACTCTACCCAAGACAGAGCTGAACTGAAGTTATCTACAATTAAGAGTGCTGAAACACTGCATAAAACTCTGACTGGAACTTTTTTTTTTTAAAGTAGACCGCACACTTAAGCATCATAAATTCAAATCAGATTTCATGCATTGTAGTGTTGCAATTATTATGTAATGTCATGATATTGTCAATTAACTACCCAGAATGTAAGCAGTATTTTAAACAAATTATTTCTACTTAGATTAATTCTGTGGCATGCACTGGATTACATTCCATTTTGCTCAGAAGACACAGAATGTCATTAAAAGGCTAAGCAGGTAGGAGTCAAATAATAGAAACTAAACATGAATAGCATATAACAGATGAAGACAAAAATTGCTGATATGAATCATGAAGATCTTCCTTTTGCTGTCAATTTTTCGTATTATGGCAATACTTGGAAAAACACATCGGGTGCCAGGTACTGAATTCTAATGCAGACTGCAGGGCCTGGGTGTGGGTCTATGATGAGGACTACTTAAACTGCATAGGAATGAGCAGGATTAGGCTGCACAGCAGCAGTCATCACTTTCACTGCCTCCAAAAATAATGGAGCACCAATTCTTACAGTCATTTACAATACTTTATGTTTGAAAGGGTAAAACAGAGGAAAGGCAAAGTTTAGTATTAAAACTTCTTTTTTACCGTATCCTTGCTGTCCATATGCTAATGACGGAGGAATGATCACTTTCCGTTTTTCTCCAGGACACATATTCATCATAGCAATATCTAACCCTTTTATGACTTGTCCAACACCCAGAACGAACCATTTTGGATGACCTTCATTTTGCGTCCGACTATTAAAAAGAATTGTAAGCAGATAACAGTGAATTTAGTATTTTATTTTTTTACATATAAAATTAACTTTAAATTAGCAGTCAGTAAAAATATACATTAGATACTTAGAACACAGGAATGTTTAGAGTGCAAGAATATAAAGTATTAACACTTTTTCTGCTACATGTATAATTAATTTAGGGTCAAATCTTGAGATGTGTAAGGGGCAACCTCCTTTTGAAATCAAAAAAACAAGTAAAAAAACCTAACTTATTACAAAAACATCCAATCTTCCTGATCATATACACTGCATGCCAGAAACAAGGTGCCACTGCTGGAAGTCTGTGAGAAGAGGAGCGCTGGGAGCAATTCACTGCTAGAAGCGAAAATGTCTTCAGCATATCACTGTAGGGTGGGATGGGACGGAGCATGCCGGTGTGTGTTGGGGGAACCTGGCAATCTTGGCTACAGTACTGTGTGCTCATCCACCGCTCTGTTCAGTTTAGACACTCAGTGCTTGAGCCAGCTTCTGGTCATATGAGGTGTCCCCAGTACGGGAGCTACACTGAATGGCGACTGAGCAGCATGTAGCTCAAAAGTTAGAGGGCAACGCTATATGTGCCAAAATCAGCCACTTCAACAGGCAAAAAAAATGCAAGATCTGTCCAAATATGGGTAAGGACCGAGCCAGGTACCTGAAGGAAAGAAAAGACTCTCCTCCATAGTTCTGCACAAGTGAGTCCTGCCTCACTAGTAGGATGCACCGCCATTAAAAGCAAGGCACTGTAAAAATAAAGCTTTTGCACAACGGTTTCTGTGCAAAGCAAGCTAAAGCAACTGAAATAGCCTGAAGATAGGTCGATGGGACAAAGTGAAAAAGCAAAAGCCTAAATGCTAACACTGGGGCAAAGAGGAAGGCAGCCCAAACCGAGGAGGGAAGCGGCGACAGGGAAGGGGCATAAAGACTGCAAAACACTAGCATAATGCGGCTGCCCTGCACAATGCCAGCTATGCAGAAGTGCATGCTATACTCAAGTTTCCATCTAAAATAGTCAGTCTGCGTCCCTACCAGGAGCTCCTCCTCCAAACCCGAGTTTTTCGGCACAGATTACAGCACAGAACATGGCAGGTGATAACACGGTGGGGTTTTTTTTTGCCCTGCCAAAGGGGTTCTCCATGTGTGGTGTGGGCTACAGGCTCTCAGCGACCCCACCGGTCGGTCCCCTTCACTGGCGACAGCCGCCAATCTCAAGCATGGCTTTGGTTTCCAGCTTACCTCAGCGCTGGTCCCTCTTGACCCTAGGTAAATCCTACATCCTTCAACACTCGACTGAGGAAAAATAAAGGCTGAGATGGGGGTAAATTACTAATGCTAACGTGGTTAGCATGGACCCCAAGCTGTGTCCACACCGGGAAAGAGCGGGTCCCGCTTACCCGGCTGAGGGGGCACTTACTCAGCTGGGTAAGCGGGACCCACTGCTCCTGGGGGCGGGCAGGCTGTGCCACGTACACCGCCGGGCTAGGGCCTACCTTCCCTTCCACCCCACCCGGTGCCTTGAGGGCCCACCTGCAGTAAAACTTGGATCCGTCGCTGGCCAGGAAACCGTCGTAGTGCGCGTTCAGCAGATCCCCCTTCTTGCTCCTCGGGCTGCAGACCTCGGGGAGGTGCAGCA